TTCATTGATCTCTTCTTTCTCTATTTTATTCATGTAAGTATTTAGAGACATAAAACTTCCTCTAAAGACCACTTTTGCTACATCCCATAAGTGCAGTATGGTGTCTCATTATTGTCATTCTCTTCAATGAAGTTATTGATTGTTTCTATGATTTGTTTTTTGACCCATTCATTCTTTAGGATTAGATTATTTAGTTTCCAATTAATTTTAGTCTACCTTTCCATGGCCCTTTATTACATGTAATTTTTATTGCATCATGATCTGAAAAAGATCCATTTAATATTTTATTATTTTAATTATTTATTATTTTAAATATTTATTTTTTTAATATTTTACTTCTTTTTTTCTAGACTACGTTGAGGGAAAGTTGGGGATTTGAACCCATTCTCATCCTCACCCCCAGAGACAAAAAATTCCTAAAATATGTAATTCCCTGTGAGCAACAGGATGGACATAGGTTCAGAACCACACTTGCCTCCTTTGCTACTTGATTCTATTTATTGCCAAAATACAATCATGGGGATTTCAATCCTTTGTTAATTTTTCTTCTTGGGGGAGGATTGGGGTGAGTTTAACTCACCAACATTTCCCCCAGTATCGCTCCACCTACTCTAGAAAGAGAAAAAAAAAGAACACAAGGTAGTTACACAAACCCCCACTCCACCTTTATGGTTGTTTGAGAGGAACAGAGGGGCTTAGACCAGTAGGAGGGGCTGGAGGAGACATTGGGAGCAGTGGCTGCATCTAGGAGACTGTCAAGGAGCTGGGGTCCACTGAGACTAGAACCTCCCTCCACTGACTGACCAGAAGGGATCCTGCAGGGAGGTAGAGGATGGTGGGCCTACCACTTCTGGCACGCAGGGAGAATGGGAGAACCAGATGAGGTACAACACCATGTGGTGTCTCCCCCCTCACATATTGCACCCTGAGTTTCCTCAAAACCCTTTCACTAATTTGGAACATGCTCTACTGTAGGTGGGAGAGGGCTGCACAGCCAAGACCTTCTCTTCCTCATGGATATCACAAACATACACATAGGTACAAACATACATACTCATTGCAGTCATATCCAGAAATACATATAGATATGTTTCCCTCCAGCCCCCAGCCCTGTTTCTCTACCTAACTCATCACACAGTGAACTGTCTTTTGTAGGAAAAGAGAAAACCAGTTCATTCAGTGAACATCTCGGACTCATTGTTCTCCAGATCTCCAAAGAAAGGGAGGAGGCTGCCTCTCCCCAACTCCAAAGGTGACGATGGTCATCACAATGATGACGCACACATCCTTACCTTTTTCTAAAAAAAAAAAATTTTTTTTAAGGCAGTTGGGGTTAAGTGACTTGCCCAGAGTCACACAGCTAGTGAGTGTCAAGTGTTTGGTCTAAGGTCTGATGTGCACTCAGGTCCTCCTGACTCCAGGGCTAGTGCTCTATCCACTGCACCACAGAGCTGCCCCCATACACATCCTTACCTTTAACAAGCACTTTTGAAGCAACCACTCTGCACAAGGCACTTGTTAGAACCCAGGTAGAGATACACAACCCAAAAGCACCACAAAGCACACACATACCACACAAACACACTCACTGTGCCTTTGAGAAGCTTCACTTCTACAAGGAGAAAAATCAAAACAAATGGAAACCACCACCTGGCTTTGTCTCACCCATCCTTTCATTCACTTTGATCTAGACATAATGGGAACCTTTTTCCTATGCCTGCTTCCTTCCCTTCCCTTCCCTCCCCTCCCCTCCCCTCCCCTCCCCTCCCCCCCCCTCCCCTCCCCCCTACACTCTAATTCCTCCCATGCCAACCATACACTGCATCTCCTCA